GTACAGTGACCTCTGACCTGTACAGTGAACTCTGACCTGTACAGTGACCTCTGACCTGTACAGTGACCTCTGACCTGTACAGTGAACTCTGACCTGTACAGTGACCTCTGACCTGTACAGTGACCTCTGACCTGTACAGTGACCTCTGACCTGTACAGTGAACACTGACCTGTACAGTGACCTCTGACCTGTACAGTGACCTCTGACCTGTACAGTGAACACTGACCTGTACAGTGACCTCTGACCTGTACAGTGACCTCTGACCTGTGCAGTGAACACTGACCTCTACAGTGAACTCTGACCTGTACAGTGACCTCTGACCTGTACAGTGACCTCTGACCTGTGCAGTGAACACTGACCTCTACAGTGAACTCTGACCTGTACAGTGACCTCTGACCTGTACAGTGACCTCTGACCTGTACAGTGAACACAGACCTGTACAATAAACTCTGACCTGTACAGTGAACTCTGACCTGTAAAGTGAACACTGACCTCTACAGTGAACTCTGACCTGTACACTGACCTCTGACCTGTACAGTGACGTCTGACCTGTACAGTNAACTCTGACCTGTACAGTGAACTCTGACCTGTACAGTGAACTGTGACCTGTACAGTGACCTCTGACCTGTACAGTTACCTCTGACCTGTAAAGTGTTGATCAGTATTTTAATAAACTCTTTTTCTCTCAGCATGTTAAATCAGATGTTTCTGATGTGTTTGTTTGACATCTTTATACCTGCGCTGAGTTCAGCCTCAGATCATTGCACACCTGCTTACAGGTGTACAATGTTTACGTGACACGCCTCTCTGTTGCCATGGTTACCAAATACACCTGCTTTCAGCTCAGAATGTAAAAGTTTCCGAAGCGGGCCGCTAACAAGACGAGATTATGTCCTGAATTAGAGCAGAGTTAATCTGTTGAGTGGACCGGGTCCACCTGCTGGACCCTGTTCCTGAGCTGGTGGTCTCTGTCGCCCCCTGCAGGCCATCCAGGACATCACACGGAACAGAGACATCGACCCTGAGGAGATCGTGATGCTCATCTTTGAGAGGATAGACGTGAACGGTGAAGGTAAAGATCATCTGTTTAGTTCCATCGGTTCTGATGGTCTGACCTGTAACACCTGTTGACCTCTGACCCCTCAGGTGAGCTGACCCTGGAGGAGTTCATCGAAGGAGCCAGAGAACACACAGACATCATGGACATGTTGAAGAACCTGATGGACCTAACGCCGGTTCTGGAGATTATAGTGAACGGCCGTCAGGCCATCACCGATGACTGACAGGAACACACACACACACACACACACAAACACACAAACACACACACACACACACACAAACAAACAAACCTTCTGGTCTCTTGAAACAACTGGACAAACATGGGACTTCTGATGGACTGCCGTCTGATTGGTTGCTTCAGTTCTACAGCCACGAAGGTTTGAACAGAACCTGACTGGTCCAGGTCCAGGTCCAGGTCCAGGTCCCAGAACCAAGTCCTCAGTTTTAATTTTTTCATTCTGGATCTTCAGAGCCGACCCGACTCAGTTTGATTTTTTACATTTCAGTTTTATTTTGTGTAAATGTGAACAAACATCTGAAATTATTTAAAAAGTTTTAATTCAACACAAATTTCAACCAGAAAACATTTTAGTAAAACATATTTATATTTTACCCAGGAGACATTTTAATAAACTGAAGTTTAACGACACATGTGGACTAAAGTTTAGTTTGATGTTTTCTTACACTTTAGTTCAGTTTGAAGAAGGAACTCAGTTTGTTCAACTTATAAACCAAAGTTTATAAAAACAACCAGAAAAACTTGAATCTGGATGAAATCAAAGGTTTTATTAGAAAACGTTGTGTTTGTTCTGGTGTTGGTTCTTCAGAAAGCCCGGTTTCTTTCAGAACACGGACCTGTTCACCTGAGGACAGTTTGTGTTAGCTCCAAGCTAACGCTTCTTTGTTCTAATAAACCTTGTGTTGCCTTAAACATTTCCAATAAAACGTCTCATTAATAAACTTTAGACTTATTTGTAACACAGTGTGTGTCTGTGTGTTTGTGTGTTTGTGTGTGTGTGTGTGTGTGTGTGTGTGTGTGTGTGTGT